ACCTACGCGAAAACATACTCATGTGCGCATAGGCCTAAAATACATCTATACATACATACATACAGTGCATACATACACTCATGTGCGCACAGGCATAAGATACATCTATACATACATACATACAATACATACAGTGCATACACACATACATGCATACATACATACATACGTGAATGCATACATACATACATGCATGCATACATACAATATATACAATGCATAAACACATGTGTGTGATACATGCATATATACATACACATACTACATATGAACACGTAAACACACATTCATACATAAAAACGCAATCTCTCTCTGTCAGTCTTACAAGATCTGTTTTTCCTTTTCCTCTCTATCTAGCTTTCCTTCTCTCTCTCTCTCTTTATGTATGTATGTAATATATTATATATATATTATATATATATATATATATTATATATATATATATATATATATATATATATATTATATATATATATATATATATATATATATATATATATATATATGTATATATTAATATATATGTATATATAACACGCACATACACACAAGCATACATCCCTTCCTCCCTCCCTCCTCTCTCTCTCTCTCTCTCTCTCTCTCTCTCTCTCTCTCTCTCTCTCTCTCTCTCTCTCTCTCTCTCTCTCTCTCTCTCTCTCTCTCTCTCTCTCTCTCTCTCTCTCTCTCTCTCTCTCTCTCTCTCTTCTCTCTCTCTCTCTCTCTCTCTCTCTCCTCTCTCCCTCTCTCCCTCTCTCCTCTCTCCCTCTTCTCTCTCTCCCTCTCTCCCTCTCTTCCCCTCCCTTCCTTCTCATTTCTATGGCAGTATGGATAATTGAAAAACAAAACGAAATCTATTTTTTACTCGAGAAAATGCTAGTTTCAAATGTTTCCGAAACTATACGAAATTACTGCATATCAAAGTGCGAGATCCCTTTGTTTAAAAATTCCGGTTTATTTTCAGAAGAAAAGTTTTTATCCGCATCGTTGCAATCAACAAGCCACGGGCATTATACTCCTTGCAATTGCTTATTCTTTGCAACAGATAATCTCCAAAGCCTTTTGAAGTTTGCAAGAAGCATTTTAGTGAACGATTCCCACGTAGTCTTTCGAACCAGCTAAGAGAGATAGAAAAAAGAATGAAAGAAAAAAAAAAAAAAAAACGTAATAGCCTTCGAATTGTTTTCCGTTAAGTAAAGGGAAAGCTTTTTTCAATAGGTGCTCTTACTTTCGTAAAATTACATAACGGCGGGGTCAGTACCCACATCCGGATATATGCAGGTACATTTTCGATAAAACTGTTGACAAACGTTGTGTTGCATTATTCGACGCGGTTGTTATCTCGCAAATGCAGAATATAGGATTGCGTTTTGGGTACATTGCGTTGTTTTGCAAAAGTATACGGTTATCAGCGTTATCCTCATCGCAACCACTGGCCTTTATCATCGTTGTGGGTAACTGGTTCATCCGTAGAAATGTTACTCGCCAGTCTGGAGTATTAAACGTAACGGTTATGGTTATTAAAAGGATTCCATAGTCAAAATTGGACAGGAATAAGTATGTAATACAAGAAAAAAAAAATCGAGAAAAAACGAAGTACAGTACCCATAAAACTATTATCTGACACGGCCATTTGATCACGAACAGTAAGCAACATTGTGTAATCTCCCTTAAGGTATCCCAGTTCAAGCCTGAATATCAGTTCAAACAGGGTAATATTCTCTTCTGAGAGATAGAAAATTGACTTTAAAAATACACAAAATAAATAAACAATAAGAGATTTACAAAGTGGATACACAGGAAGAAACATGAAAGCACGAAAAATTGGAGGAAGGAATCGGTGTGGGAAAACGGGAAAAACGAAGGGGATACTACGCGAAAATAAAAACAAAGGAGGCGATTTAGCCTGAGAGAAAGATACAACGTTAAAGCAAGGTAAGTAAAGAACATAATATAAACCGTGTAGAAAGTAGCATTTGAACGCGAACCAGTAGGAGAGGTCATTGAAAGGGGCATAAAGAAAGCCATTTACTTGTCACGAAATAAAGATAAAGAAGCGCGCACAAGAAACAGCAAAGCCACGTCTTCCTGCTGGGCGGAGATCACAAAGCAAGGATTGGACGCGTCAGGGGAGCTGTCCGCCCAAGACCGTAAGAGTGTGTGAGATGGCCGTCCTGAGACTGGTGGGAAATCCAAAGGAAATTATCAGTTTATTCTCTTTATCAATATTATCAATGTCAGTGTTGTTTCTCTTCGTATTATTATAACTGTCTTTATCATTAGGACCATTGTTATCAATTGGTACTGCTTTTATCATTATTTTGTATGATTAAGATTGCTGTTTTTTCTGTCGTTGGTATTATGATTTTATCACTATCATAGTCATTGTCATTATCATGATTCTTGATTACTTCTATATCTTTATTATTATTATTATTTCCATCTTCATTGCCATCATCACTTCATTGCTACCGCTTTACTATAATAGTTTTAATTAACATCCTACCATTAAAAATCCAATAAGCAGCTCTCTCTCTCTCTCTCTCTCTCTCTCTCTCTCTCTCTCTTCTCTCTCTCTCTCTCTCTCTCTCTCTCTCTCTCTCTCTCTCTCTCTCTCTCTCTCTCTCTCTCTCTCTCTCTCTCTCTCTCTCTCTCTCTCTCTCTCTCTCTCTCTCTCTCTCTCTCTCTCTCTCTCTCTCTCTCCTCTCTCTCCTCTCTCTCTCTCTCTCTCTCTCTCTCTCTCTCTCCTCTCTCTCTCTCTCTCTCTCTCTCTCTCTCTCTCTCTCTCTCTCTCTCTCTCTCTCTCTCTCTCTCTCTTCTCTCTCCTCTCTCTCTCTCTCTCTCTCTCTCTCTCTCTCCTCTCTTACTAACGGTGAAGCCTTAGCGAAAGTAAATGAATTATGAATTATCTTACGTCCACAGTAAATTGAATTCAGTAAAATGAAAACGACTAGAATAAGCTAGGAGATTTTAATATATGGCGTATCCTATCCATGAAAGAGCAAAAGATACAATACGAAAACAAAAGAAAAAAAAAAGAGAGAAGCGTTTACAACAAAAAATGAATAAATACAAGAGTAGAGGAACTGCAAGACTGCATAGGATATACGATGACATATTTCCATAATTCCTCGCGGTCCAGATTCTATTTTTAACAGATGCAGACACTTTAATACTGTATTTTGCGTTTCATTCTTGCGTAGGCTTCTGGGCTCGAGCTGCCAGTCCTGTGATAGTTCAAATTATGTGTTTTGCAGGAAACAAAAAATAAAATGGCTAAAGGGTAAATACACGCATGTAGATTTTGATATGAAATACAGAGGCCGAGATGAGACATTATATATAACTAGGATTATACATAAGAACTGTACATGTATTATTCCAGGACAGAGAAACAAACAAAACCATTAAAAAACACTCAGAACGGATTAACCTGTACCAGTTCCCCAAAAAGCTAACTGCATTTCTAAAGAGAAAAGATTTTCCTAGTAGACCTTTTTTCTATGGTAAATACATCAATAAAAATAATAATAAATTATATTCCAGATCTGGTTCATTACCAAAATCTAATCAACTGGACCCTACGCCACTGACAACCCACATATATATTTTATCATAATCTGTCAATTACTTTTTACGCGTAATCTTACTAATATACCATTTAACTTACCAATAAACCAGCCAATGAACAGGCTAATAAATACAAGCAAAAATATTATCTCCTTTACTACTCGGCAGATGTAATAAAACTAAATAAGCTGGTGTAGGTGTTCGTTGCAATATAGCTTTGATTCATGTGAGAGGATTTGTTGCACTCTCAGGAGATATACAGCATCTGAGATGATATAGCTCATGTTATATAAATGTTTATTATCTTATCATCGTTTGCAGCAGCAGTAGTATCAGTAGCATTGGTAGTAGTAGTAGTAAAAGTAGTAGTAGTAGTAGTAATGGTGGTAGTAGTAGTAGTAGTAGTAGTAGTAGTAGTAGTAGTAGTAGTAGTAGTAAGTAGTAAGTAGTAGTAGTAGTAGTAGTAGTAGTAGTAGTAGTAGT